TTCACACACGACCCACACACACACGCGCACGCACACAGGCGCCTCACGTGGCAGAGCGACGACCTGTGCGCCCACGGCCCCATTTTGGAGTGCTTCACGCGCTTCACCAGCCTGCGCTCCCTGGCCCTCGGCTGCACGCGCCGCACCATGGAGCTCACAGTGGGCCGCGACTTCGGGGCGGCGTTCAGGGAGGCCTGCCCCTACCTCGACCTCGCCTTCATAAACGCCTGAGAGGTCGCCTTGATACGCGCCTGAGGCATCGCCTTCATGAACGCGTGGGGCATCGCCCTCCACAAGCGCCTGAGGCATCGCTTTTATAGGTGCCTGAAGGAATCAAGCGAAGCCGGCGGCGGTGCGTCGCTGCTGCTGAGTCGGACGTGCTGCTGAGTCGGACGTGCCACGCGCGCTGCTGTGCTGTCGGCGAGCAGCCTGCTCGCTTGTCCGGCTGGCACGGAGCGGCTGTATTTCCGCGCGCTCCCTTTGCTAGTAGTGCGGCCCGCTGCCTGCTGTACCACCAGGGCACCCCTACAGCGCAATGGCCCGCGGCTGTGGGTCTCACACTTTGCGCCGGGCGGCCCCTCAAGCAATGTCCAGAGGCTTTACGTGGCGGGTTTTGCAGTCGAGTGGTTTTTGTTTTCGGCCCTTTCATCCACACATGCGCTCTGTTTCGCCGCCCCTCCACGTTATAAGGGGCGCTTTTGCCGCCACCATCGGGCGTTGCCGTGCCCATGAGTGTGATGGGGCTTCCTGCACGCGGGCAAACGCGGGGCCAGCAGGTGGCTGGCTGCTGTCACGTCCAAGAATGGGCTAGCCTTTGGTCTGCGTGCCAAGCAAGTCACCGCCTATCGAAGGAGGGCGGGCGATCCATACACATCCCCACACAACACAGTGCTGAGACCGCACCATATGTTGCGTGCGCTGTGCCTCTGTGCGCCACATCAGAACTTGGCGTGTGCCCATCTTGACTGTACCACCACAACAGAACGCACTGATGCACGCACGCTGCCTGCTGGCCTGTTCCACCCCTTGGCGTGCTGCTGCCTGCGTGCAGTACTATTTATGAGCTTGTAGGTTGATCGCCACTGTACGTGTGGCTGTAGGCCCGCCGCTTATCCGCCTGCACACACTCCATGTACCAATGTCCCCCTCGACCCCAATGAGTAAGCCGTGCATGTCCTGCATGCAGCTGGGTTGTTTACCCGGCGGGCCTGACGCCGCCGCTGAGAGCCATGCAGGGCGCAACCTGGCCAGGCGGTGCGGCGGGCCCTGTGGCCGAATGTGCATGCAATCCATGCATAAGCCGGTTTAGCTTGGTGGATATTCCCTGGCTGAGGTGCAACGTGTCGCGTGCCTCGAAAGGCTCCCGGCCTTTGGTCAAAGCGTGCACAACCCTACCCGCCCGCAGCGGCTTGCAGGCCATGAACTGCGTGCGACAAGAGCGTATCTTTTGGCTTCAAGGCAGCAGCATAACTACAGCATTGATGAGCGCGCCCCCCAGCTCCCAAGGCGAGCCTCTCAATCAATAAAGAGACAGGGTCGGTCAAGCGAGCTCCTTGGGCAGCTCATGGTGCGCATGTGCGGCATGATCATATCTGACAACTGGCGTTTTATTGGCTGAATACATCTCATAGTGGACAAAAGCTGTTGAAAAATCCACTCGCGAGTGTCACTCGCCACAGTGCAGCTTGGTGCGCCACAAGCACGTGCAGGGATTGGAAGCTTTAGCTGCTCATTGAGGTCGTCGTGTGATTTCATTGATATTGCATTGACCACCGCGGACGCTGGGCCCTCGCTGACCACTAGGGCGAGATCTGTTCAACGCTGCACGGGTGAGGTCTGCGGGACTACTGCGTCCGCAACCAGCCGGCGCGAACCCTCCGATCGATAGTCATTGGCGTGTTGCTTTCGGGCGGGGCACCGCAGCATGCCCTGCAAACACAGGCGTGGTGGTCGGCGCTGCGTCCGCGGCGGCCGCGCCTGGCGCCCATGCACAACCCTGGGCGAAATGACCCTGTGCCGCACGCACGCCAGGGGCAAGCAACGCGCGCCAATATGAAGACAAAGGCGCACTTTTTCCCGAATCTGGACCTTTCCACGATCCTGGAGCCTGAGGAGGCCTGGGACCACAGATATGCGTGCACCAAGGTGCGAGGGCCCCCCCCCCCCGCCCAAACACATGCGCAGCGACGCAAACGGGCAGCGGCCCAGATGCCAAAAACCACGCTGCAAGAGGCACAGCATGAATGCGAATCCTCATGCAGATGCTGAGGGCGCAGGCCCAGGGCGACGGCGTTGCAGCGGCAGCCGTCGCCGCGTCTGAGCGCCTTCGCCGTCGGCCCTGCCCGCGCCGCCGCCTGTGATGCAAATGCAAACGCAAATTCCGATTCCCATCATTTCCTGCTGCTGCTCGTCCCACAGATCATCGCCACGATTGGCCCTTCATGCCAAAGTGTGGACACGCTGGTCAAAATGCTCGAGGTGCGCGCCACGGCCGTGGGCGCGGCGGCGACAGCACACCTGGGCAGCCCAGCAACGCAGCCGCGCCCAATGCTGACTCAAATCCTTGAAATCCCGTATGTGTGGCAGCACATACTGTGGCGAAACTCCTCAATCTTGCGCGCTGATGCAAGTATGACGCCAGCTTGAGGTGCTGACCGCGTGGGTGTGGGGCCTCGCACTGTGCCACCGCTGCCGCCGCCGCCGGGCCGCAGGCCGGCATGTCTGCCGCACGCGTGGACCTGACCTGGGGCCCCATTGAGTACCACAGGAAGAGCCTGGACAACCTGCAGGTGGGGGGCAAGGTGGCCTGGAGGTGTCTGCGAGGATGCGGCTCCGGATGGCGTGAATGGAACGCGGCCCTGGCTGCGGCCCAGCTGCCGCCAGCCAGCGAATGACCGTTTTTTGGTGGCAGGCGCAGCGGCCGCCCCGGTCCCGAGCTCCACGGCAGCTCCGCGGCTCCGGCCCCTCGTGCCTGCATTGCCCCCTCTGACGCCCCCGACCCGCGCCGCGCCCGATCCTGACGGCCGGCCCCTGCAGGAGGCGATGCGTCTGACGCGCAGGATGTGCGCCATCGTGCTGGACACCCTGGGGCGCGAGGTCATGATACGGCGGCCCTTCAGGTGTGAAGGGGCGCGGCAGAGGGGCAGGGGTAAGGGCGTGATGTGACGTCATGTGATGTCATGTGGAGAGTTGCGGTATGATTTGGGGCCGAGAGGTGGTAGGGGTTGGGGGGGCGCCCTGCTGGTTGATTGGATGCCGTGTGGGGGCGGGGTTGGCTCCTAGGTTGGGTGGCTGCAGGACGGGCGCCAGCCTGGAGGCAGGGAGGGCGGCGGGCACCTAGTCAGCGGTCGCCTTGGTCTGCGACAGCCGCCGCTCGTTCGAGGGGGCGTATTGAGCTCCCACCCTCAGCACAGCAGCAGTCAGCCACCCAGCCCACTGCTCATGAGATAACCTCAACCCACCCCACCCCCGCCGCCCCAACGTTGGTGACGCCTTAACCCCCAGGATCGACGAGGACGGGTGGCCCACCCAGGCCGGGCAGGAGATCAACGTGGTGGCGGGGCAGAAGCTCACACTCACTACGCGCGGTGAGGCACGGCGCGGGGCGCGCGCAACGCGGCCGGCGGTGGGCGTGGTCCCTGCGACTTCGCACACGAGCGCCTTGGCCGCTCCCCTGGGCCCCTGCCAAATGCGCTGCTAAGGATGCGTCACCCCAAAACTCAACAGCCCCACAAAAGGCCCTGTTTCACGCCTTCGCTCGCGCCTTCCCCTCTACAAACACACACACACACACACACACACACACACACACACACACACAAACTCACAAGCACATACACACATCCACTTGCATGCCCCCACCCCAACCTCTCCAGATGTGGAGTGCACCAGCACGGAGCTGCCCGTGACCTACACCCGCTTCGCCGACATGGTGGAGCCCGGGGACAGCATCTACCTGGGACGCTACCTCGTGTCGGGCGCAGACAGCGCCTCCCTGTACCTCAAGGTGAGGGCGCTGGTCTGTGATCTGTGTGACGTTCACCTCAACCTCAAATATGCTGCGCAGGCAGCCGTGTTGGGTGCGGCACCTGTGTGTCTTCTGTATGTTTCCTGGGCCGGGGGCGCGTGGTGCTGGTTTCGGCGTCAAGGGACTGTTGTGCAGGGGTGTGCAAAGTTCGACGCAGGAAGGGGCAGGCGCAGGGAGCCGATCGGGGGTGTGAGCGCGTGCAGTGTTGCGCGGCTTGCAATCAGAAGATATCCCGTGGGTGCGCTTGTGATGTGACGCTACGAGGTATCCGCAAGGAGCCAATTCCTCCGGCCCCAGCCTCAAGAGCACCTGACCTTGGTCCACAAACTGACGCCGAGCTTTGTGGGTGTGCTGCTTTGCCTGCTGTGATGCCCTCCGGCTGCCCTGACCACCCGATCACCCCTTTTGCTCCCTCCATTCCCTGCAAAAACAATTTAAATATAAAAAGGTGGAGGAGGTGGTGGACGGCACCGACGTAATCTGCAGCGCGCAGAACGCGGCGCTGCTGGACGGCCTGCTCACGCTGTTCCATGTGGAGCGCAGCAGGTGGGAGCC